AGTAGATTTTGTGGCTAAGTCAAGATTCTCAAACTGTATAGATCAAGATGTTGCATTGGGGACCAATACAAAACAGTCATTAAGTTTTGTGCGCTAGAGTCTTCCCTTTGTATCATGATAAATAATATTTGATATTGTTCCCCTTTATTAGATTGTGAGCATTGGATACCCTAATACTACAAAATAATTTCTATTCCCTATTCCTCTCTTTTTCCCTTGATATAAGGGATTTTCCTAAACCTTAAAAAATATGGGGCAGTAGTAATGGTTACTGCTTGCGTAGGTGGAGCTAGGATTTGAATTACTTTATGGTTTCGAGATTATAACCTTTTTAAGTTATCGATTTTTAATTAATAATTTATATATATTTATTGATTTCTTATTACAAATTTAAGGTTTGAACAAAAGCTATTGGGTCCGGGTGACCCGAAACTAACAATGTGGCTCCGTCCCTGGTTACTTGTATGGAAATTTCAACTTGCTAGGTTAATTATACCGTCAAACCTTTTTAATTATAACAGCCATCCTTTATAATAATATTTCGTTATAATACTTAAGATTTTTTTTTGAAACCCATTTTTCATGTTATCTTATATTATATATTCTCTATAATAATATTTTGTTATAGCAACCAAAAAATATCGGAGAACGACACGATATAGTTATAAAAAGGTTTGACTGTATATATAAAAAAATGGAATAAGGGTTGACAACACATCAAAAAGTAGAATGACTCATGGAATGATCGAGTACTCAAAGTGAAATTAGACAAAGACAAAGATTTCAGGTTTACTTCAGTAGGTTTTGACTGTGAACTACTTACTGAGAGGTAAAGAGTAAAAACAGGTTATCATCAATCCATCATCTGTTGCTACTTCCAAAATTGTTTGTTTTTCAGTGTCAATGACTTTCCTCTTTGCTTCTACATAGCAGCAGATACTATTACTAGCTAGAATATATGCATGCATACATTAGCTCATGTTTCATTTTTCACAATTGTGAGCTGTTGTGTCTACTTCCTTGATGAACTAGTATATATTTTCGGTATTTGACACTTCTTTTAAACAAACATATACTTTAAATTATTTATGATATGTAGTTCAAGAGAACAAACTAAAAGGGCAGCCCGGTGCACTAAACTCCCGCTATGCGCGAGGTCCGGGAAGGCTAGACCACAAGGGTCTATTGTACGCAGCCTTACCCTGCATTTCTGCAAGAGGCTGTTTCCACATCGCGAACCCGTGACCTCCTGGTCACATGGCAGCAACTTTACCAGTTACGTCATGGCTCCCCTTCAACAAGAGAACAAACTGAATAATCAAAATTATTTTGTAATTAAGGTCATCATATATTAATTAATCTTACGAAAACTTATCTTCAAGTATCAAATCACTTAAAAGATAACTATATATATTACCTCATAATTAATTACTAAGACTAGCTACACACTTACATGTGAAATAAAAGCAAGCAACCAGGTATATCATATATTAAAATAAATAATGTTGTAAAATTCTTTAATTCTATATATGTATTGACACACCTCTCAAGTTATTTTGGTTACACTGACTTTTTTTTTTAAAAAAAAAAAATTTAACCAGGTATCTCCATATGTGCAAAGTGACTCTTTTGGACATACACCCTCTTAAGTTAGTAGTAGTAGTTTTTTTCTTTTTCTTTATGCATTTGGAATTAAAAACGGATCCAATTAATTCGAATTCACATTATATATGTATATGTTGATTTCTCTAAATGAGAAAGGCTTCATATCACATGTTATGGTTCGAACTCGAGGATTCTTTATTAAAAAAAAAGAAACTAATTAGTTGCTTAAAAGGAGATTTAAAAATAAAAACAAAAAGATATCCAGTAATCATCCTTTGGCTCCTTATCGATCCATGCTCAAGAAACGAGGATGGTTGAGGCATTATTTGAGAGGGGAGACAATGGCAGAAGGCTGTATCAGAACCTGATCTCTACAAACCCCACACTCTTTATAGAATCTCTCGCCCTACAAAATTCCTTGTTGTCATAACACTACTCTTTACTTATATTGCTCGCACTTTCTGAAAATATACGTGCAGGGACGGCACAATAAATCTCGTTGCCTTAGGCGAAATCATATAGAAATGTCCTTAAATTTATTTTCAAAAATATTTACCCTAACAATATTTTTTAAAAATTTTGTTTCTTAAATAGTAAATTAATAAGTTAAGGCAAAAAAAGCGAATTTACAAAAAATAAAAAAAATAGGAAGAAGAGCACAAAAAATAAAGTGGTGACTACCGAATGTTGAGGTCCAGAACTCAAAGTGAAAATTTTGAATTGGCTATCATCACAAACAAGAAAAGAAATAACATATGTAACGTAATAGCTTAAGCTTTGAACATTGACGGTGTTAAAAAAATTTATTCCTTCTGATCAATCTAAACGATAATTGTAATTCATTCTATTAAGTAGCACTTGTTGGTGAATATCTAAAATAAATTGTAAACAACCTAATATAATATATCGAATTATACCAAAAGAAAACTGGTACATGAATGTTTTGTGTTCATGCAGTTTCAAAGAACATTATAAAAGAAATTCTTCATGTTATCGATATATATAACTTAACTCCTATATAAAAAGGATAAAGTTAAGATTGAAGAATGAAGCAAATATACTAATTAATGAGGGAAGAAAACTATCATAATTTATAAATTTATTGGTAGAAAATAACCTCAATCAAGTAAAAAAAATATATTGTAACACTTTTCTTTATACTAATTATTTATATAAATTATATAGTAAATAATAATAACAATAATAATAATTTGAAATAAATTTGGGGCCTTTAAATTTTGGGGTCTGGCAATGGTCTCACTGCCCAAAGCCTTAGAGCCGCCTCTAGGCACGGAGTTTAAGAAAAGAGAAAAGACTTTTGAATTTGTGGTATAAAATAAGGCACATATATTTTGGGTGGCTATAAATCATTGCATAAAGATAAATTATTTACAAATAAGGAAAGAAATTTTTTTTGGCACAAACTAAAAAGAAAATAGATTCACATAAATTAAACAGGGTGGAGTATGTTATTAGAGGAGGGAAGAAGAATAATAATAACGATGGGGCAGTATAGACCATAGCGTTTTTGAATAGGAAATTATGTACACTTCTTTAGTTGACTATAACACCACTATACATCATTAGATGAAAGAGCTAGATAGTCAACACTTTTTATTAGGCTGTGTATAATTTAGTAAATATTGAATTATCGTATTGAAATAAAAATTTTTGGTATTCTGGTATATGATATTTTGGTATTCTGTATGGTATTTGGTTTAATTTTTAATAAAAATTGGTATTAGGTATGGTATTTGGTGTTGTAAAATGAAATATCGAAATATCGATACCGTACAAAAATATATATTATATTACGCAATACACATATTATTACATATAACATAAATATAAAAATCTAAAATTTTACTTTCATTTATTCTCTAAGTTCATATCAATTAACTCTAAGCAAGTAACAAGACATTTCTAATTATCAAATTTATTCCTTTATGTGCAGTTTTCTCTCTCTGGGTTGATATTTGTTGGTTTTGGACAAAACTTTTGTCAGCAAACGTTTTTTGTTTTGTAATTTTAAGTACTTTAATTAAGAATTTTACCGTCTATGACTCTACGTACTAGTTAGTATTCAAATCGAATAAACCGAAACCGAAAGGAAAAAAATTGAACTATACCAAATTTAATTAGGTACGACATTGATATAACATTTTAAGAAATAGAATACCGAATCGAAATGTATAATTACCGTACCGACTGACGAACACCCCTACTTTTTATTACTTACTTTATTTTTTTGTCGATCTAGAATCCATAAATTCGATAATATGTAATCTAACATAATTAAATGCATCCTTGTCCTCTGAATAAGTTTTTCCTTATTTTCTAAACTCTTACTTTGGTAGGAAGGCTGGTTCGACCAGTGACTAATAAGTTTGCAGTAAAATCAATGTCATGAAAAGGGACTTTTATTAAAATTAACATTTATTTCCGTTTGACGCAAAGAAGCAATATCTTTATATTCGATAATTATGTTACATTAACAAGATGATTTTAATTGGGTTGCAGAATATAAACTTATCAATGCAATTTATGATTCATAACTAAGAAAATCTACTATTAAACACATTCATGCATTAGGACCATAGAAGTTTGATTAGTTGATTCTTGACTATACCAAAAAGAAAGAAGAGAATATTAATCGATATAAACTATAGAAATGAATTTCAAACAATGGCTCATAAAAAATAAATCTGAAAATTGTTAATATTACCTACAGCAACAATACTTTGTTTATTTAACTTATATATAAAGTTAAATTATCTAAATTTGGTTCAACTGAAATTCTTTATTCCAATTAAAAACCGAAATCTTGTCACAGAAAATGAAAAAAACAAAAAAAATCTTCATAGATCATATAGCAAAAGACATCGGACAAGAAATCATCAAAGATTATGGTATAGTGATAAGTGCGTCTTTATTTTTTATCATTTTTACAATCGAGCTCTAAACATTAAGTCGAACATGTTATCACATTTGATAAATATTCATTTATTTTTAATCAATTTTAGGAGCTCTGAACATGACATCACTTTTGATCTCCAAAGTAAAAACTTCTAACGCAAATCCAAATTAATTTTACTTTAAGTATAAACATAGCTATAAAAAGGAAAATCTCAATTCCTTTGTAGCTCCAACTTGTTTCTAATTTGGTGTTTACTTACCCTTTTTGCATAGACAATATCAACCCCTTACCCCCCCCCCGAACCCAAAAACCCAACCCACCCACCCCACCCACCAACCACTCTACTCTCTCTCTCT